AATATATATATATATATATATATTTTATATATATATAAAAATTTTTATAGCATTTTAGACACATTGAAATGATAGAGGTGAGGCTATGGAATCCAAAATCTCTTTCAATGCAGGGGATCCAAATTAAAACGATCCAAATGAATCACCTTCCAGTCTTCACTGGAACACTCCTGATAAAGGGAAGCACACCAGCATTCTTGGTTGGTGGTATCAGCAATATGACTTTTACCGAGAGGGAGGAAGAGGAAAAAGAAGAGGGAGAGAGAGGGAGGGAGGGAGGGAGGGTAGATACAGCTACATAGATGATTGATCTATGTGAGACTCTGCCTTCCTGTAATATAAGACCAAATTCTCTGCATGCTGGTTGTGGAATCAATAAGAGAATATTTGTAGCTCAGGGTTGAAATGAGGGGTCCTTGATGCTCTCTGAGCTCGGTTGTTTTCTTGCAGAGCACTGATGGTGTTACCTAGTTTGGATAATGGAATGTCTGCAAGAAGACTACCAAGTTTAGAGAGCACCAAGGACCCCTTCGTGGTTGGGGAATTCTGGACATCTCCGGAATCCAGAAGTCCACCTAGCTTAAAGCCATGAAGATTGAGAAGCACTGAGCCAGATGGTTCAATGGTTAGAAACAGTATGAAACGAGATTGGGGGGGGGGGGAATGCCTTTACCTGAGGCTCGATCATCCAACCTCGGTACCTGGGACCTTGTCCGGGTTTGCATTTGTAAGCAGAGTATATGGGGATGCGCTTCTCTCGGTCATACATGGTGGCAAAGCGGTAGGCATTGTTGTAAAACTGGCAAATCCTTGCAGGGTTGGCCGGCGTCAGAACATCTCCGGGTGGCACCTTATCCAAAAAGAACTCCAGGCAATTCTTGAAGTCTTGCACCACTTCAGCTTTGGCAGCCAGGGGAAAGCAGGCGACCATCAAAAGCAGGGAGGACAGCAACAACATGGCTTGAGAAGCTCTTGAGCCTGGAAGGAAGATGGCCATCAAAATCCCCCACCAGACACCTTGCCCTCCTACCTGGGCAAAGTACTGATTGAGACAGTTTATAGCTTCACCCAGTTCAACCTCTTCTCCAAGGCACCTGAAGGCAGGACAAGAAGCAATGGGCGGAAACTAATCAAGGAGAGAAGCAACCTAGAACTGAGGAGGAATTTCCTGACAGTTAGAACAATTAATCAGTGGAACAGAATTGCCTCCAGAAGTTGTGGATGCTCCAACACTGGAAGTTTTTAAGAAGATGTTGGATAACCATTTGTCTGAAGTGGTGTAAGGTTTCCTGTCTGAGCAGGGGGCTGGACTAGAAGACCTCCAAGGTCTCTTCTAACACTATTATTCTATATTCTATAATCAAATACATAGATTGCAGTGATCAAATATCTATTTGGATTTGGATTTATTTCATTTATATGCTGCCCTTTTCCCCGAAGGGGACTCAGGGCGGCTCACAACTTGGTCATGGAAGGGGGTACAGACACGGGATAAAAAGATGAAACATAACAATACACAATTTAAAAACACACAACAACCATACCATTCGAGGAGGGGGGCAAAAGCTCTTTAGCCCCAGGCCTGTCGGAACAGCCAAGTTTCTCTGTCACCCTAAGATATTGGACTAACAGGCCTTGGTTACCAAAAGGCAGGTGCTAACTCCATGTAGGTGGGGACGGGGGGAATGTCCTAATAGAAAGAGCATTTGACTGTGGGATCAACGTCCAGAAAAGTTCTAACTTTAACATTCACCTGGAGTTGAACTGTCATTCATTCTGGATGCCCCAACTCACCCATCCTAGTTCTATAGCTTGCTTCCCATATACGAGCAAAACCAAGCCAGTTAAACAGCTATTGCTGCATCCATACAACTTGCAAACGTTGTTAGTTTTAGCCTTGGTTTAGTTTTCTTGTGGCTTAATATGTACAAGAGAGCTCAAACAGCTATTTGGTTCATTTCTGATTCAGGGTATCCTGTGCGGGGGAAAGCAAGCTAGCAAGGCTTGTTCTATAAAACCAGCCTTTATTTTGCACAGTCCTGGAAAATGGAGATGCCCCTCCGTAGACCTTATTTCCCTTAATTATTTTCCGAATTGCAACCTGGTTTGATTGGCAAGGAAACGATGAAACGGATCTATCATCAAGCCAGTTAGCACCAATTGCCCAAAAGTAAATATTAAATATTAAAGTAAATATTGTCACATGGTTCAAAGAATTCGTCCGAGTTTGAATACTTATTCATTAGTACAGCATGGGCTATGATATACAGCAGCTATTTCCAAACAGATCGAAAAACCACTTCCTAAAGCCATCTTTTAAGGTACAAGACTCACCTTTGGCTGTGCGATCTTTGGAGCAGGAGAAGATGAAGGCAAGAATGGCGTGGACCAGTCCGAAGTTGGAGAAGAAACTCCAGGCTGTGAGAAGTCACTCCACGACTAGGATTTATAAAGGAACAGAAAACTGCCCCTAGGAGCTGAAGCAATAAAGGCAAAGAGTCTGGAATGTAAATTCTAAAACATCCGTCTTGATAATTATTCTTTTTTTTTTAAAGAAAGCCCTCGTTTACCTCAAATTTGTAATTCAAGCTGGAGGAATTTATGGAGCAGAATCTCATCTGGATGCGCACATCAGAAAACCTGGGTGTGGCACTAAAAGGGGAAAATAGCGCCAGCTTGATTGTAATGCGCCTTGTTTTCTATCGATTAGGAAACTGGAGGCAAGGGAAATGTTTGTTAAGTTGTTGAGCTTCTTTTAAAAATAAAAATAAAAAAAGAACTCGCCAAATCTGTTTATTTGCAAGAGTTGAAAAATTTAGATAGGGAAGAAAATGAAATTGCGAAAGCCTCGGAGGGCTTAGCCCTACAATCTTGTTTTTTCCAGTTCAGAATGCAAAATTCTGGGCTCATTTGTGGGGCTCACAAAAATTGTCACTTTTTTTTGAGAGAGAGAGCTTTGTCATCTTTAACAATGGCAGCAGAGTCCCAGGGGCTGTTCACACTTCAGGCCTGGCGTTAATAGGCCACCCACACCTTAAGCCAGACTTGCAAAAGTTGCAAAATTGGTGGCTGAAGGAGACAGGTTCATGCATGCCACATAATCCCCGACTTTCCTCTGCCCTCCACGGTTTTTGTTCTTTTTTTGCAATTTTTGAAGTTGAGAAATATGAAGAGCGGAATTAGTGCTAAATTTTGAAGAGGTTTATGGCAGCTATTGTGCTTCTTAAAATGCAAGAAGTACAGTTCCCAAGCTGGTCCTCCGTGAGTGAAGTATATGTGATAGTTGAATTTGGTTGCTGTGGTTTAATGGGAACATCGTTGGTTCATTTTCAATATGAATTCATCAGTATCTACCCATCTTTCCTTCCTACAAATGGGAAGAACTTGAGATTAAAATGGATACAATTGTGAGGAGAAAACCCAGAGATTTACCAATTCCTTAGCAGAGGTTAGCCAACCTCTTGCTCCTTTGACTGCACAATAAGCCAGAAATAATATCAATACATTCATCACTCATTAAATAAGAGTATTTAGCATGTCCAAATACTAACCTATAATCTTACAGTTGTGGATCTCAAACTCTGCAAACCAAAGGGATGTCACTTTGCAGGCCACTGTGTGGTTTCAGGGAATGGCAGCAGCATCCCACATTTTGCTACTGCTGTTGTTGTTGCCTCGAATCTTGTGATACCGTTATGTCTGAAGATATTACAGGATTCTTGCTCATGAGAACTCTCTCTCCAAAAATTGATTGTTTGACTAATCAAATTGATATTGTGGCCCATCTCCCCCAAAGAAGACTCTAGGCGGCACACAATAATAAATAAATCGGCCCAAATCAATAAAAATAGAAAATGTCTCAGTAATTATTAGCAAAAACACAAAATTTATCACTCTGGGCAAAGGGAGGATAAAAACAGCTCCCTCAGCAAAGGAGTCACAGGGAGAGATGTTTGGTCCCGGGGGGGGGGGGGGGGGGCCTGGCAGCAATTCCAGATCTTGAAGGCCTTANTCATGTGACTGGGTGGGTGTGGCTAGGTGGTCGTGTGACTAGGCAGATGTGGCTAGGTGGTCGTGTGGCTGGGCGGATGTGGCTGGGGGTCATGTGACTGGGTGGGTGTGGCTATGTGGTTATGTGGCTGGATGGGTGTGGCTAGGTGGTTGTGTGACTGGGTGGATGTGACTGGGTGGGTGTGTCTAGGTCATGTGACCGGCTGGGCATGGCCAATTTAGCAGCATTAAACAATACACACAAATTAAACTTTATTTTGTTATGCTTCTGGAGGGTGAAAAGCAGGTTAGTGAAAGAATGCAGCTGCCTTGGGGGGGGTGCCCCCCTCTCTTTCCCTCCCTCCCTCCCTCCCTCTCTCTGGAGGCTGGAGAGGCCAAAAACAGGCCCATGCGGGTAGGTGGGGCGATGTGGGTGGGGCAGCCTTGTGTTCCCTCGTGGGCCAGATCAAAGGCTTTGGCGGGCCGTATCTGGCCTGCGGGCCGTAGTTTGAGGACCTCTGCCATGTGGCATCTACCATGGCCGTCATTTTGCTGTGAAAGAATGTGACACTCCGCTCCTGTATTTTAACTTTAAAAAGTCTTTGACCTCCAGAAGTTGTAAAGGCTCCAACACTGAAAGTTTTTCAGAATATGTTGGACAACCATTTGTCTAGAAATGGTACAGGGTTTCCTGCTTGAGCAAGGGGTTAGATTAGAAGACCTCTAAGATCCCAACTCTGTTATTTCATCCTTCTGTGTTTGTTTGTTTTCCTGTGGTTTGTCTTGTGTAGTATCGTTTGTGGGTTTTTTTCCTTTCTTTTTTCCAGTTTGTCTTAGAGGTGTACTCCAGATGGTGGTTATTATCATTTCTGTGTGCTCTGGGATCATGGGGTTTTCCCCCAGTTGCTCCTTGAGGTTATCTATGGGGCGTTGGCATTGTTGTCTGTGGTGTGCTGCTATTTGTCTAGTCTGAGCTGAATATGCACGATCATTAGTCATATCATTGCACAAGTGTTGTGCAATCCTCATTAAGAATGTATTTTTTCCTCTAGCAAAATTAACACTGTCCTTTTTTTTAAAGGCAGAGTTATACAGTATTTGTTTAGTCATATGACCAACCAACCAACCAATAACAATAGCAGTTAAGACTTATATACTGCTTCATAGGGCTTTCAGCCCTCTCTAAGCGGTTTACAGAGTCAGCATATTGCCCCCAACAACAATCCGGGTCCTCATTTTANACAAAATTTATCACTCTGGGCAAAGGGAGGATAAAAACAGCTCCCTCAGCAAAGGAGTCACAGGGAGAGATGTTTGGTCCCGGGGGGGGGGGGGGCAGGCCTGGCAGCAATTCCAGATCTTGAAGGCCTTATGAAAAATCCAAGGGAGGGCCAATCTAATTTCAAGGGGTTCAATGCTCCACAAGGTAGGCATCATGGCAGAGAAGGTACCCACCAGATGTAGACATTCCCCCCCCCCAAACTGAAAGCCCTCACAAGCATGTCCTCTTTGCCAGGTGGGATGGAATTGGCTCATGCCACTGGGGGAGAGGCAGCTGTCCTCATTCAGCCTTGGCAACGTTATACCATCTGCTTTACTCCAGGAATGATGACTTCCACTCACTAGGATCTCGACCCTTTATAAGGAGGATTTATTCAGTTATGGATGAAACCATAGGTCGCTAAAGAACACAATGGCTGGACATCATCAAAACGGACACCTGCCAGAGCACAGAACTCCTCAAAGAAGTAGCGCAAGATTGGAAGACACAGAGAGATCTGGCCCAGAGAACTGTCAAAGGTCAGATTTGACTGAAAGAGTAACATCAAGAGCTCATGGTTGCCCTTATCATGTAGAGGACTCTCAGTTGCCAATCACTGTCGTAGACCGAAGCCTTGGAAATCAGAAACCCATTTATTTTTCATATCCAGCCTTTCGTTTTGGGAGTTCAAGACACCTAACCTTTCCTCTTCCTATTAGTTTTCCCCACATACTCCCTGTGAATTACAGCGGAGAGACCCATTGCCCCATAGTCAAGCTGAAGGAAGGCCTGAAATTGTGTCTCCCGTTGTGGAGCAGACTGTTTCCTCCTCCCATAATCTAGGCTCTTGACCAATGGGGAGGGATTGGCCAAAGCCCCTCAGGGGGCTTCCGTGGTTGAGGGGGCATCACAAACTGGGTTTTCCTCAACTTTGCCACAATCTACAGTCCCTTGTATCTCAACCTTTTTTTTTCCAAAAGGGCATCAAGAGAAGACACCTCTGATTTTACACATGGTGTAAACAAGTAAGGATGGTGGAAAAATTCATTCCACGTGGCTTTCTCCCCCCCCCCCCTTCTTGTTCTTGTAAACATTTACAGTTCATAAATGAGACTGAAAAGCATGGAAACAAGAGGAAGTGACAAAGTTGTACCAGAAGCAAATCTTGAATAGTCCCTTAGGCAACGTAAGGGGAATTCTCTGCCTTGTTGACAACCCCATTTTCAATGACTGCAATTGACAGTTTTTAATCGTCTGCTAATAAATCCAGTCTGGCTCTTTAGAACTAGTCTGTTCTGGCAATCCTAAAAATGATAGTCAAGATTTAATCTCTCCGCATCCATTACAAAGGTGTTTTCTCACCCATATTTTTTTTATCTCTGGGATGGCCATTTCAGACTGAGATAAGGAGGAGAAGAATGGGCCGGGACAGGGAAATACATTTGTTTAGAATATCCCTAGGCAGTAGGTCATTGAATTCAAAGGTTTCGTCATTTGGGGGAAAATCTGAATAGAACATTTTGGCGAGACTCCAAGTAATATTCTGATTTTCTTTGTGATATATTCCCAGAGCAGAGTGCTGAATTGAATCTGCTGGTTGTGCGGAAATGGTATAGCTTGAATTAGTTGCTCTATTGCTACAGTCAATTTAAAAATGTACTCTTTAAAGTCAAAGGTCCTAGAATTACAGACTTAAATTTCCCTGTATTTTGGATATCCAGCCTCTCCTTGAAGAAACCACCCTACACAGGAGCCACTGATTGACAGCTTTTACTGTCAATGTGTTCTTCCTGATGTCTAATATATTTCTTTCCTCTCTTCACTATATTCTTCCTATTCTTTTCTTTTCTGTATTTTTTTCTCTTCTGCATTTTTCACTTTCTATTCTTTTCCTTTCTTTCTATTGGATTTTACTATTGCAATAAGTGCATAATTAAAAAAGGAGAAAGCACAAAACATTTTTGATACACTTTGCTTGGCTGAGATTCAGCTGGACAACTTGAGGGTTGCAAAAGATCAGGAGTATCTTGGCAGCCAGCAGTCTAAAATAGGGGTGGAGATTGACACTCGAAGAACCAAGTGGAAGAGAAATGGAACTGGTCTGGTCCAAGAGGGATGAAGCAGCCAAGGAGGGGGCAACAGACATTGTTCCAAGAAAATCCCCCTTCCCCCTTGACAGGTAACTTGAATTTCTTGGATTTTTCTTTGAAAACATTTCAGACGAGGAACACACAAGCTTGAAAGGAGAGTGGAGATTGAGGCATCTCAATCCATCTATCCCACTGCCCCCCTCCGTGATTTCCAGTAAAATATATGGGCACCTGTTACAGCCATTTTCATGTGGCCACCAACCCTTCCACAGTAGCAGATTACCCAATATTCTTGCATTGAGTTTCTGAAGATGACCCAAGTTCTAATATTGTGAGGTTAGGAAGAGGCTAAAAGAGACTTCCTTTTATACTCAGGCCACTTTCTCTTACAGGTTTTTGCCCTTTTCTTGAATACTGATGATGTGTTAAGTTTTGATTTGTAGCTGTGATTTGTGATTTTTAGTTTCAAAACTTCCCCAGTTCTTAAGTCTTAAGATCGCTCACTATATTTCCATGCCATTTGTGATGTGATCTTATATGTCTTCTTAATCAGATGCCATTAATTAGGTTCATTTGGATAGTGTGAGTCTGCTTCTGGTTGTTGCCATCATTTGTTCTTTTTATTATTGCATTAGGGTGTGTGTGTGTGTCTGTGTGTTTTCTACTTGTGAACTACCCAGAGTTGCTGAGAGCTGGGCCATGTCCACACTTAATAAACAATCAACTTCCAGATAATGTCCCAAACAAATATTCACCATGTTTGCCTATCTCCAGGGTGTGCAATTCAAACTAAGGACCTGCCTGAAACCATTTGTGCCTCCAGTAAATCACAAGGATGCTAATGTATTGACACATGTGGAATGATGTAACTTCACAATGCCGCTGTAACAATGTAAGTGTGTATTATAGGAAACGGATACTTTAAAGGGGAGAAACACTGCAGACTCTTTGTCTTTAAAACTATCCAGAAATGCCCCATTCCTGCTCAGTTTTGTTGAATTGCAATTGGAAAGCCGATGCCAGTTAAACTGGATTAAAATCGATATGATGCTTAAATGAACTTTCGCTCAGATGCAAAAATCTTCCTACCACTGTGCCAAAAAAAACCTGTAGATACTGAACAAATGTCAACGGAGACTCTCAATCATCCAGGAACTGAAGAAGTTTCTTGAACGAGAAGCAAAACATTTTAAAAGAAAACAAGTCCAATTGTCTTTTGGAAAAAAACACGTTGGCTGTAGACACTGACCTAATTTATATGGCACTGAGACACGGTGGTGGTTTATTCACTGTGGTTTGCAGGCCAAGGTTCATGTACCAAGTTTAGTTAGTATTAATCTTAGATGATAATTATGATCCCTAGCCGAAGTGGAGCAGTGGTTAGAGTGAAGTACTGCAAGCCATTCAGCTGACTGTTATCTGCAGTTCGGCGGTTCAAATCTCACCGGCTCAGGGTTGACTCAGCCTTCCATCCTTCCGAGGTGGGTAAAATGAGGACCCGGATTGTTGTTGGGGGCAATATGCTGACTCTGTAAACCGCTTAGAGAGGGCTGAAAGCCCTATGAAGCGGTATATAAGTCTAACTGCTATTGCTATTGCTAATGTATTGTATGAACTGCCT